GAGAAACCCTGTTTCAAAAAAAAAAAAACCCACAAACAAACAAACAAAAAACCACACACACACACACACACACACACACACACACACACACACACCACTTGTGATATGATTGAGCATCCTTTGGGTATATGCCCAAGAGTGGTATAGCTGGGTCTTCAGGAAGATTGATTTCCAATTTTCTGAGAAACCACTGTACTGATTTCCAATGTGGTTGTACAAGTTTGCACTCCCACTAGTAGTTGAGGAGTGTTCCCCTTACTCCACATCCTCTCCAACAAAAACTGTTTTCAGTGTTTTTGATCTTAGCCATTCTGGCAGGTATAAGATGGTATCTCAGAGTCATTTTGATTTTCATTTCCCTGATGGCTAAGGATATCAAACACTTCTTTAAGTGTTTCTCAGCCATTTGAGATTCTTCTATTGAGAATTCTGTTTAAATCTGTACGTTATTTTTTTTAATTAGATTATTTGGTATTTTGCTGTGTAGTTTCTTGGGTTCTTTATATATTTTAGAGATCAGCCCTCTGTCAGATGTGGGGTTGGTGAAGATCTTTTCCCATTCTGTGTGCTGCCACTCCTGTGAACCGGACATCCAGCCAGCAGAGGGAAGAGTGGTGGCCAGTGTGCGCCAGCGCCTATATGCAACTATATGCTCAAGAAGTGGTCTCCTGTGCCAATGCATTTAAGGTTACTTCCCACTTTCTCTTTTATCAGGTTCAGTGTAACTGGATTTATGTTGAGGTCTTTGATGCACTTGGACTTGAGTTTTATGCAGGGTAACAGATATGGATCTATTTGTGTTCTTCTACATGTTGACATCCAGTTATGCCAGCACCTTTTGTTGCAGTTGCTTTCTTTTTTCCCACAGTATAATTTTGGTTTCTTTGTCAAAAATCAGGTGTTCATAGGTGTGTGGATTTACTTCAGGGTCTTTGGTTCCTTTGATCCATGTATCTGTTTTTATGCCAATACCATGCTATTTTTATTACTATAGCTCTATAGTAGAGCTTGAAGTCAGAGATAGTAATACTTCTGGAAGTTCCTTTATCATACAGGATTGTTTTAGCTATCCTGGGCTTTTTGTCCTTCCATATGAAGTTGAGTATTGTTCTTTCAAGGCCTGTGAAGAATTGTTTTGAAATTTTGTTGGGGATTGCATTTAACCTGTAGAAAATTACTAGAAAAATAAATAAACCCATGTATTCCTCTTTGGCAAGAGAGAGGTGGGAAGTACCCACAGATTATCACAGTAAATGAATGTATACTCCCTCCCTGCATCAGAAGATGGAGTGAGGGCAGTGAACCAAGAATGTATTGGTGTTATTTACTGATTTAGCGGCTGTGACAGCTAATCCTGATTGTCTGCTTGACAGGCTTAAGAGTCACTGTGGAGTTAAGCCTCTGTGTTTGTAGGTGAGGGATTTTCTAGATTAAGTTAATTGAAATTAAAGATTAAGTTAATTGAAATTAAAAAAAAAATTGCACCCACAAGTGTGTGTGTGTGTATGTGTGTGTGTGTGTGTGTTTAGACAGGGTCTCACTGTACAGCTCTTACTGGCCTGGAATTCATTATGTAGAACATGCTGGCCTCAGACTCACAGAGATTCACCTGCTTCTGCCCCCCCCCAAGTGCCAAAACTAAAGGCTGTGTCCCCACTCTAAATGTAGGTGGAATCTTTCCACAGATTGGGGTCCTGGACTCTGTATTAGTTTTCTAGAAGAACAGAAGTGACAGAATGAATGTATGTGGGATATATCAGAATGACTTACAGACTGTGGTCTAATTAGTTCAACAATGGCTGTCTACCAATGGAAAATCCAAGAATCAGCAGTTATTCAGTCCAGGAGGCTGGATGGCTCAGCTGGTATGCACACTTGGGTTTTAGTTCATTCCAGATATAGTCAAGTTGACAACCAAAAATAACCATTACCCTGACTTAACTACAGAGATAGCAGGAGCTTGGGTGGCAGCATTCATCATGTCCGATTCCTAACTGTGGATGCAGTATGCTAGCTGCCTCAAGCTCCTGCCTCTATGATGTCTTATTCTCTCTCTCTCTCTCTCTCTCTCTCTCTCTCTCTCTCTCTCTCTCTCTCTCTTTCTCTCCTCTGTCTCTGTCTCTCTCCTCTCTGTGTCTCTGTCTCTGTCTGTCTGTCTCTCTTTCCTCTCTGTGTCTCTGTCTGTCTCTCTCTCTCTCCCCCAACCCCATGTAGCCCAGGCTGGAGATTCACTTCCTTCAGTTTCTAGGGTGGTTGGTACAGATTTTGCGTCTACACCCAGCTGAGCTTTTGTTCTTTCTAACTAAAATCCCCAGAGAACACATCCCCAAGTGTTTGAAAGCTCCATCCAAATCTGCATGAGGTACAATTACATTGTTATGACACAATTATGCTGCATAATTGCTGGGTCTGTTTTCCTGTATTTATAATGCACCTGAAAAATAAACCTCTTGGGGGAAAAAGTCTGTCCTGATTATTGGAAAAGGACCATGTAGGCAAGATGAGACTCTTTTAAAGAGGTAAC